GCACCATGCTCACAGCAGACATACTTTACCATTGACGAGAAACGTTCCGTGGTCCGAGAGACTCAGGAGGATTTGTGATTTTAATCTTAAAGACGATCTCCAGGCAGTCATTTCAGGGGCTCGACCTACCTCAGCGGTTCCAGAAAGCCAAGACAATCCATTTAACAGACAGGATGTCAATGTTGGTCAGGGGCTTGACTTGCGAAGGAATCTCACAAATCTCAAAGAAAGTCAGGAGCTAGAAGGGAGTGTAGCTCATAACAGGTGTTCACAGGCTGCTTCTTTGGGACACATGCTCGGAAGAGTTGAGTATGATCCATCCGTCTGCCTGCAAATATTAAATGAAGGCCGTCTATTATTGTGTGCCAGGTATTGATTAGTGATACTGTCGACTGGTTGATTCCTTTCCTGGTTGGTTGACTGATGATTCATTCATTTATACAACTAGTGGAACTTGAAAGTCTGTTACCTGCTTCCTCATACGCAAAGGAACCGTCATCATATGGCTTGGTAAGTCCATGAACATTTCAGGATCCATCCTGGGGAAATGAGCTTTTTTTTTTTTAATCCGGTTTCACTGTTGCTCGTTCCCATAAAGTCAGTCTGAATCATAGAACTCAGTCTGAGTATCACAGAACAAAGCACTCCCCGGTCCTGCGTCGTCCTCACACTTGTTTAAAATATGAATACATTCCAAAAAGTGAACCCCAAAAGTTAGCCCTATCGAGACTTGTAAGTGTACCTCACATTAGACAAACAAATAGGAATAAAGTGAACTATGAGGGGCCCAAAAATGTTGGGGTAGGAAGTGAAGTTTGTACACAGACAAAGGGTTGAGCGTCATTGCTCCTTTTCATATGCTTCTCCGTGGCCAGGCACTAACCTCGACCACTGCTGGGCCTCTGCTGGGCCACTTACCCACGCGACCCTGACGTCCACTGCGAGCTGATGAACTTTCCAACATTGTTTTCTACCTACCACGAGGAACTGAGCTAAACATGGAAAAGCTTAGGAATAAGAATAAAATAAATTCAGATTATAGATTCAATTCCGTCCTAGGAACGTATCTCCCTGGACCTGATTCCTGAGAGAACAGCCTTGAAGATCAGTGTTCCCCCAAGTGGGTAATACCCCCTGGAGGTGGCGCCGGCAGGATCCCAGGGGGCGGGGTTGCAAGGGCAGATACCTACACTTGTACAAAAGTTTGTAAATTGATGGTGGGGTGCTAAGTAATTTTTTCTGAAAGTGGTTAGTTAGATGGAACCTCTGGTGGTCTATCCCTTATCATCATGAATTGCTAGAGATGTGTCTACAAATCTGTCACAGTGACCTGATGGTAGACATGGGAGGGTCATGGTAGGAATCTGCATAGCTCTTGTAAAATATAGAAGATAGATTTCCGGTATAAATATTAAGATTTTAAAGATAGCCTAGACGTTGCCTTTGTCCTCTGGAATTCTGTCAGGGAGCCCTTGACTACTGGTTTGTTCCGAGTTTCTGCTTTATTTCTGTTTTCAACCAATTTGAATCAAGAACTGGCTTTGAGTAAAGTGTCTCTGCAGGATTGATAGCTATTCTGTGGTGGGGCGCTTTTTATAAAAGACTCGTGCTATCGCTCGGATATTTAAAATGAAGAGATATCCTTAGGGAGAGTT